ATAATAATAATAATAATAATAATAATAATAATAATAGCAATGTTAACAATAATAATAATAATAATAATAAAGACAAAAACAAAAATATCAAAAACTCTGTATTGAGCAGATAGAACTTTGTAGTTCCGAGGTCGCCACATCGCCATCTTAGTCAAGACTCCAAGACTCATTGTCTTAGTCAAGGCTCTAAGACTCCAAGACTCCAAGACTCCAAGACTCCAAGACTCACTGTCTAAGTGCAAAGACAGACTCATTGTCTTAGTCAAGACTCCAAGACTCCTTGTCTAAGTGCAAAGACAGACTCCTTGTCTTAGTGCAAGACTCCAAGACTCCTTGTCTAAGTGCAAAGACTGACTCCTTGTCTAAGTGCAAAGACAGACTCATTGTCTTAGTGCAAAGACAGACTCATTGTCTTAGTGCAAAGACAGACTCCTTGTCTAAGTGCAAAGACAGACTCCTTGTCTTAGTGCAAAGACAGACTCATTGTCTTAGTGCAAAGACAGACTCATTGTCTTAGTGCAAAGACAGACTCATTGTCTTAGTGCAAAGACAGACTCCTTGTCTAAGTGCAAAGACAGACTCCTTGTCTTAGTGCAAGACTCCAAGACTCCTTGTCTAAGTGCAAAGACTGACTCCTTGTCTAAGTGCAAAGACAGACTCATTGTCTTAGTGCAAAGACAGACTCATTGTCTTAGTGCAAAGACAGACTCCTTGTCTAAGTGCAAAGACAGACTCCTTGTCTTAGTGCAAAGACAGACTCATTGTCTTAGTGCAAAGACAGACTCATTGTCTTAGTGCAAAGACAGACTCATTGTCTTAGTGCAAAGACAGACTCATTGTCTTAGTGCAAAGACAGACTCCTTGTCTTAGTGCAAAGACAGACTCATTGTCTTAGTGCAAAGACAGACTCAATGTCTAAGTGTAAAGACAGACGCATTGTCTTAGTGCAAAGACAGACTCAATGTCTAAGTGTAAAGACAGACGCATTGTCTTAGTGCAAAGACAGACTCATTGTCTTAGTGCAAAGACAGACTCCTTGTCTAAGTGCAAAGACAGACTCATTGTCTAAGTGCAAAGACAGACTCATTGTCTAAGTGCAAAGACAGACCCATTGTCTTAGTGCAAAGACAGACTCATTGTCTTAGTGCAAAGACAGACTCATTGTCTTAGTGCAAAGACAGACTCATTGTCTTAGTGCAAAGACAGACTCATTGTCTAAGTGTAAAGACAGACTCATTGTCTTAATGCAAAGACAGACTCATTGTCTAAGTGTAAAGACAGACTCATTGTCTTAGTGCAAAGACAGACTCATTGTCTTAGTGCAAAGACAGACTCATTGTCTAAGTGCAAAGACAGACCCATTGTCTTAGTGCAAAGACAGACTCATTGTCTTAGTGCAAAGACAGACTCATTGTCTTAGTGCAAAGACAGACTCATTGTCTTAGTGCAAAGACAGACTCATTGTCTTAGTGCAAAGACAGACTCATTGTCTAAGTGCAAAGACAGACTCATTGTCTTAGTGCAAAGACAGACTCATTGTCTTAGTGCAAAGACAGACTCATTGTCTTAGTGCAAAGACAGACTCTTTGTCTTAGTGCAAAGACAGACTCTTTGTCTTAGTGCAAAGACAGACTCATTGTCTTAGTGCAAAGACAGCCTCATTGTCTAAGTGCAAAGACAGACTCATTGTCTTAGTGCAAAGACAGACTCATTGTCTTAGTGCAAAGACAGACTCTTTGTCTTAGTGCAAAGACAGACTCTTTGTCTTACTGCAAAGACAGACTCATTGTCTTAGTGCAAAGACAGACTCATTGTCTAAGTGCAAAGACAGACTCATTGTCTTAGTGCAAAGACAGACTCATTGTCTTAGTGCAAAGACGACTCTTTGTCTTAGTGCAAAGACAGACTCTTTGTCTTACTGCAAAGACAGACTCATTGTCTTAGTGCAAAGACAGACTCATTGTCTAAGTGCAAAGACAGACTCATTGTCTTAGTGCAAAGACAGACTCATTGTCT